GGCCCGCAGGGGGCAGCAGCGAACAAACCAACCCACACCGCCACGTCTGACAAAGTCATTTTAATGGAAAATGTAAAACCCCTTTCAACTTCAATGTACAAAGCATGTGTAACACTTGCACTTTTAACAAATTAAAGCAAGCCAATGTTTTAAAAAAATACATCATTGAATGTATATATGTATATATTTACATAGCATATTAAGTTTAATATTTAAGCTTTAAAAGTTCACATAAATTTTACCAAAATGAGACAATTTTTAAATAAATTACACCTTTTGAAAACGTTTAATTGTACACTGAATAGCTTCAATAAAATACTGAAGTGTCTGTATTTAATATCTACTTTATATACTTTATATTTTACAAAGTTTACAATTATTTGGCAGTAATTTTCAGAATATGACATGACTGCTGTGCGGACTCAGCAAGATCCCAAATGCAGGCAATAGCTGGTGTTTGTGTCCTACTCTCACAGTAACTGTCTCAATGTAGTGAAAAAGATCTGAATTATTTTAGCAAACTGTACAAGTCACATTTACATTTGATCAACAATATAGCATAGAATTTTGTCGTTTTTTCCAAAAATAAATACATCATCTTAAATCTTTGACATTTCACAAACTTCATGTACATTATAATACAGACAGCAGAACGCTGCTCAACTGTTTGCAAGTGGAACATGGAATCACAGTGGCTGTGATATGAAGCTCTACCGTTGCAGTGTCATTAACAAGTAAATATGATGACTGTGTTTTCTTGGCACTGATGGTTTGTGAAGCTTAAATTAGTGTGTTTACCGTTCACAGATCAGGTGAAATAACCTCTGGGTGATGCTACCTCCAAAAAGCAGAGTGTGCTCAGTTCTCCTCCATATCTTCCAGTTCACCTTCGTGAATCTTCAAAGCTCTCACCATTTCTTTAACTGCGTGATACAAGATATTTTTAACCTGCAAGAACACGGGACAGATTTCAGTAAGGCCTATGACCTGAGGAACTCTGCAAAGTTTAGGACTGAGCCCTAAGCTTAGTGGATGGAAAAAAGAAAGGCTTCATCAAGCCCGTGCAAAAGGAACAGCTTTTTACACATTTTAGAATGTAATGTGAAATAAAGCCAGCAGCTCAAGGGAGAGTCATTTACAGCCCTGGCATTCATGCTGCTGCTCATTGTTATTCTGTGTGAACAGCAGCAAGGAAGTAGCTCCACGCACTGCTCGGCATTTCAATGAGCCCGAGCACACCCTGCCTTCCCAGCCCCTTCCAGAGCAGCATTCATTTCCTACCTGCAGTTTATCATCATAATTGATTTCTTCCTTTGACAGCCTCAGCTCCTGCGTTAGGTGGAATGACTGTACAAGATGTTCTGGAGACACAAAGTCTTCCGTTACTTGAACGCAGCTGTGAAAATTTTGCACCTATCCAAAATAACAAAAAGAGACTGATCATTAGTATGTGGGGTTTTGCTTTGGCAGAGGTACCTGAGGAAAGAGTGGGTCTGGAGATGCCTTACCCAGAGCCTTATGGCACTAACAGGCACCTTTACAGCTAGAGAGCAATTGTGTGTGTCTGCCTTATCCTCTGAAGGCTGCACAGCTGCCTGTGCTCGGCATTAATCCCACACTGAGGCCTTGCTCCTCCCTCAGCAGCTGCACTCAGCCTGCCCAGCCCTGGAGCTGCCCTGCCCTGCAGCACCCGGCTCCTCTGCCACCTTCATGGAAAAGGAACTGCCAGTGGAGATACTTGAAACAAACAACCATGAACAGAGAAAGGGGAGGCTGAGAAGCTGGGGGAAAAGAGCACTTTTCTTCTTTCTCTGAACATTTCTTCTTACTGACATGAGATAACTACTGAGGAACAGACACCATCCCTGCCACCCAGGTCGTGCCTGGAGGATGGGGAAAGGGAAATTGCTTCCTTGTTGTGACCCAACCACCAACTCCAGTTCACTCCCTTCAGAACCATTTGTGTTTTCACCCCTAAACCCTTACAAATTACACTGTAATTTGTAATTCAGCAGTCAAAATCCTCTTTTCCCTGAACTCCAACACTTCTCAGAAGCTGTGCAACAGTTTGAATTCCCTAAGCCTGGGGGCAGGGAGGCAGAGCCTCAGCCATTCCAGCAAACACCCCATCCCACCCTGCTCAGGACTGATAGAGATCTGTGTACTCTCAAGTGAAACCTAGCAAAATCTAGAGTTTCTAAATGCACACTCTAAAAATTCCATTATTTAACCTGACATTCAGAGAAACCATTGGGGTCTACACAGTTGAGGACACAGGACTTAATTTAAAAATTTCTTTCTTCTCCAAAACCCCTGCCCAAGTCTGATTTTACACAGCAGCCCCCCTGCTACAGCTGAAATCCCAGCAGGTGATCCCCAGCTCAGCAGTCAAGTTGCCCATGGGGTTTTTGATGGCTCATCATCATCAAGGACAAAGCAGTGCTGGTCCCTCCTGGGAATTCATCAAAACACAACTAATTCTGGACACGAGGAGGGTTTGTTGATGCCACACAACCTGCAAAGAGCAGAAAGCCAGGAGAGAGGCAGCAGCTGCAGAAGTGCCAGCATGAGACTTCCCACCAGCACGCAGGGAATTTCCTAGAGCCTGGGGTGAGGCACCTCTGCCTTGTGCAGCTCCAGCCCCCTCCCCTCCCTCCCAGGCTTCCCACCTCTTTCAAGTCTCTGCCTGCCCCTGGTTTCCTTGCCAGCCCATGCAAATCCCACAGCACTCGTTCACTTTCTCCTCACTAAGACAAGGTTTTACTGACTCCCTATTTCTCCCTCCACAGCAGAATAGGAACCATTTGTTACCCCTCAGACCTTTAATTCTGCTGTGCCTGAAGTCTGCTCTTCCCTCCCTTCCAGGGCCTGTCTTATCCGTGTGAAAGTTTGCGGGGACAGATTTTACCCGGCTGCTCTGGTGCTCAGCATGGGAATGCCCCGCTGACAGCCCCAGGCAGTTCTATTTATAATATTTCTAACACAAGCTGATGCAGTGACACACACACAGAAACGTTTAGCAACGATTCCCCTGAGGTTTGTGGGGCGAGGAGTGCAGCACTCCCACGCCTGTGCCACTTCCAGCTGAACTGAGAACAGCTCCACACCCGGCCCACGCAGCGCCGGCGCTTCCAGCAGGGCCGGGAGGCGGCTGCGGGGCTGGAAAAGCCCCAGACCTGGGCTGGGACAGGGAAAGGGGAGTGGGCAGGGAAGAAAGGGCCGCCCAGCCATCCTGCTGGCCACGGGATCAGCCACTTCCTGCAAGGCCGAGCTCGCAGAGCTCTGTGTGTGCGACGCCCAGACCTTTATCCTACAATCCTTATCGGAGCGTTGCCAGGATGTCACATTGCCTCCGAGCGTGTTATTGTACAATACATAATCCTGCTGTTAAATCAAGATAATGCCTCTATAAAAAACAACATTATAATAACTTGTTCCACTATGAGCAAGTTTTGCAGGGTGCCTGAACACCACATTTCAATTACTGACTCCAGTATTTCTAACCTTTTTTTTTTTTAGTTAAAATATTTTACCAATTTGGAGCCACCCAGTTAAAACCAGGGAGGCCATCCCTAGAGATGCCTATGATACAGCATAACCCACAGTGGAGCAGCAGAAAGAGTGAATCTTTCAAAAGAACAGTACCAACACCCTTTTTTAGCTGGGGGAGTTCCAAGGAGAGCTCAGGGCTCCCAGCCACAAGTGCCACAGGGGGAACAAGGCCCAGCCATCAGCAACCAGGGACACTGCTGAGCCCCCAGCCTGTACAGGCAAGAGCAAAGGAGATGCCCCTCCCACAGCACTCAGGGAAGCAGCTGCAGAGGTGACTGATCCAACACTGGATCTATTTCTGGATTCTCCTCCTGAGAGAGCAATTCCCTCTAGGAGAGGAACAGACAAGGCTGCCCTGCCCGTCACAGCTCACAGGAGAGAGAGGCTGTCCCTCCCCTCCCACCGGGAACAGTCTGACTTTGCCTGCTGCAGGCATCACAAGAACAATGTGACTGCTGTCTGCAAGTACACAGGGAGGGGGAGAAAGCTGGGAAGCAAGAGGAATGCTACATGCTGCCATGAAATGTAAAGAATAAGCTTTAAAAAGCCAGACGTGAATCCATAGAACCGGAGGGAGGGAGGGGGATGGAAAAACAATAAACAGAAGAAATACACAGAACCTCCTCCATGTTAGGGCAGTAAATTCTAGACCAGCACGTCAGAAGCAGCAGTGTGCCAACAATCCTAACTGGCTCCAGAATGGAAGAGTCAGAACTACACTTATGCAGTGACCACAGGCAGCCAGGCTCCCCAGCTCCAGCCCTCAGTCTGATTCCTTCTGCTCCATAACATTACTCATGAGCAAATAAAAATGTTAACTGACCACCTAATTTAGCATCAACTTTTACCCAGTTTTAATAATTAAAAGGTTCATAATGTGCATGTAAATCTGAAACACTTAATGTGTAAACTTAACATGGTATGTACTCTTGTGCAGACTTATTTTTCAGTTTTTAAATGTGCTTTGTATCTCTGAAGTGCTGGTGCTGATCCCTAAGGTCAGTATTTACTCATCTCTACAGAGAGCACTATGCACATACATGAAAGAACACGATGCTTTTATTTCCTCCTACGTGGCAGATTCACAGGAACTTCTTACTGAAGATGAAAAGGTTCTCAGCTTCACCCACTAAGGTTTAAAAACACCATGTTATTAACTCCTTGGTGCCAGAAGCTACAACATTACCACTTCAAACACAATCTGCAGTTTAAAGCCAAGGAGATAAAGATAAGAGTGGTCTTATTTTTGGTCCTTAAACATATAAAGTAGAGGGAAGACTGGAACAGTCCCACTACTTCATGTTTTATATTCTGTGTGCCTTTATACAATGGCACATGCTATACAGAACAGATTTCCCAGGACATTTGTTATTTCCCCTGGGTTCCCATCCACTCTCCTATCTGGGATGTATCTCTCCTGTTTCATGGGATCAGAGTAAGGCTGCTGGAGGATGCAATACATGACTCTGGGAGTGCAACTTCTTTAGCCTAACAGGAGCCAAGAACAGCAGCAATGAATGTCAGGTGTTCCTCCACATTTGTGGAACCACATCAACCCCTGAGTCATTGTACGGGGCAAGGCAACCTACACCTCCCTAGATTTGGGTCAGCAAGCTCTGTTTGGGGCTGTCTGGGTCTTTCCTCTGCTGTGCCAGAGAACAAATGCACAGAGACCATCCAGAGCTATGTACCACCATGTCCAACCCATGCAAAAAGGCAGTGGGATGAGGAGGAGCCTGGTCCAGGTGTGGTACAGCTGCTTTCAATGCCCCACAACAGACACAGAGCAGGGACATGACCCCTGCCATCACTACACCCCATCAGTTTTTCACAGAGGAAACCCCACTAAACCCCACTGCCCACAGGGAATGGTGAGCCATTGCTTCCTCTCTGCAGGAAGCTGATCTGCAGATTGGAAACCAAACAGCACCTTCTTCACAAAGCCTTGGCCTCACTTGAACCCACAGGGAGATCAGTGATAGATCTTCACATCACAATGGTTTGCAACCAACTGCAGGGTGGGGATGCTCCTCATTCCTTGACAGTCAAGGACCTCATTAGTGGTGCCTGACAGCTGCCAAGCCAGCAAGCTCCACCTCCTGCTGAAGCACGAAAGAAATAAATCTAGAAGGGCCTAAAAATCTCACCTCAACAACTGAGCTTTCTTCCTTTTTCACCAAAGAGCAGCAGCTTACAGGCTGTGAGGGGAAAAAAAGGCCTAAAGGCAGTAACAAAGCTTTTATGCCAGGGGGCAACTGAGGCTGACTAATAAAATTCATCCTGCTACTCCAGAACTGCCCCACTGGCAGTACCTTTCCTACCCAACTACAGACTGGATCAGCCCAGCTGCTGCCAAGGTGGGATCACTCCTTCTCAGAGTAAGAGACAACTTACTCTGTATGACGACTTCTGGTGATTGATGTGCCTTCTATGTTAAAAGGAACTTAGATTTGGCACGGGAAAACAACCAAATATCTGTTACAGAACCACCAGAACACCCACTAAAATCCTCTAACAGCTAAAGACAGGAACAATGACACCTGACATTCAGGTGCTTATCATCCATACCTGCTCAAGCTGCTCTCCCTGCCCCTCCTCAATTAGGTTAACTGCTGGCTTAGAAGAAGAAAATTACTAACCTGACTCTGCCATAACTAGACTCAGTTTGTTTAGAAATTTGCTACAGAAATGAAAAGGGGAAAACAATGATTAATAATGGTCTGTTCATTTGTAATTGTAAAGCAAAAAAAGAACTCATACTTAAGGCATTCCATTTGCTACACCAGCAGATGTATCTGATTTTACATTCCTACATGCTAACAGATACTAATAAAACAACTAAATGTAACTGAGCACAGATGTATCCATGCCTTTGGAAAAAAGTTATTAATTTTGCATGTCTTAAACTTAATGTACATTACCTGATGAAGTGCTCCTGCTGGTAGAATAATAGCATCACCAAGGAACTGAATAACTGTGCAGGTTTTTACTCCATATTCTTCAAAAAGTCTTTGGCGAAGTTTTTTGTTCACATACCAACTCTGATCACGGATTGGATCGTGCTCTGGTAAAACCTCCAGGCCTTGCTCCTTTGCTATCTGTTGAGTACAGAAAAGATCCCAAATAACTTCCAAACCTTTTGCTGATCAATGTTATGTATGCCCACCTCGCCAAGCAATGTCACTCAGTTCCCAATACCACGCAAGAGCTCTGGCTAGGGATTCAAAACAGCCCCAAAGCACCTGGGAGGTCTCACTGAACTGAGGACATCTGCAACACTCCCACTCCAAAGTGCAGAGCTTTAAAGAACTCAGCACAACAATCTATTGATAAGCAACATGCTCTCTGTGTGACTTTTTCATCCAGAAAATAAAATCTGAGCTCAGGGGTTCCTGTGCTGCAAATTCCTCAGTTTTGACACACACACAACATCACCACCTCAGCTCAGGAAAAAAGCAGCCAATAAAGCCAAAGGTTGTAGTCCTGGGAAACCTGCTCCAGGTGCCTCTGCTTGAGCACAGGGACCTCAAGGGTCCCATTCCAACCTCAGCCACACTGGGATAACAAGCTGCTTTCCTACCACCCCTATGAAGGTATTAAGAAAAAATGATGAACACAAAAATACTTCCTGACATCAGTAAATGGAATGGCACATTTCTCATCAAGTGAATCACAGGGGAACAAATATTACTCTTAATCAACTACTACTAAATCAATCCTAGTCACTAAAAAAGAAAAAAGTGATTATATATAAAGAACACAGACCTAATCCACCTGTCATGAGTCATGAAACAAGTATCTCATTAGAAAAAGAGGGGTTTTTTTTTATTTTATTAAATGAATGTAATTATGCAATGCAGAACTTGAAACTCTGCTTGAGTATTATCACCCTTCTAACAAGATACTGAGATTTTATATCTTAGCAGCAGCAAAGCGGTCCCAATGATTCCTCACCAATAATCTCCAATTCAGTACTTCCCAAATACCACCACTCCTAAAATACACGGTGGCACACAACTCACTTGGGATACCAGGGCTGACTGTGGTAGCAAATGACAAACTTACACAGCATCCTAAATGGGGCTGTTTTAAACCTGTTGCTCAAACAGTTTCACAGCTATTCTCTATAGTTTCAAAAGTGCTCTGAGGGAATATTCAGCACTTCCTCTCTACGGCCACCTATTCCTTTGCATTCATGACTTTATTCACAACTCTCTTTTTTGAACTGAAAAGCCACCATCTAATTTATGAGCACCTACTTTCTGAATGAACAAAAAGTCTTGCTGAATAATTCACCATCTCCTGGAATTAGCTTTGTTTTACTTACCACTGCTCATTTTTCCCCACAGCTCAGCCTGCCAAAGAGCAAATGTTTGAGTCACTGGAGGACAGCTGGCCTGGTACAGACACTGCTTATTGTCAAAGGGAATCTTCAGTGCTGAATTGCTTGGGCTCCCCCTGCTCACAGCAGAGCCCTTGGCCTCGAGTTGGTCCATGGACCCCTTTGCTGCAGCCAGTTATAACTCATCTGATCTCTCCTCACACAAGAGGACAGTAAAGACATTTTCTCAAGCAATCACTTCAGTGATACTTTGGTATTTCTGTGCTTCTATCAAGGCCGCACAAAATGTGCTAAGGACAGGGCACGGAACACTGCTTCCAAGAGGGAATCCCTACATTTAATGCACTGACAGATAATCCTAGGGAACAACTGGAAAGGTTCTGATGTGGCTCTGAGTTCTGATCACCACCAGCCACTGCAGGATGATCTGCAGCACAGCCAGGTTAAGTTTGCTGCCCCTGGGGATGTTCTCCCACTGCTTCCACCTTTGCCAAGAGCCCAGCCATGCTCCTGTGCTGCCTGATGTGACAGTCCTGGCAAAGACTGGTGCCCATGGGTGGTGAGGCCAGGGCACTTGGCATGGGAAAGTTCACCAAAAGTTCACCAGCAATAATACAACAATGGATCAGTGACAGAAAAACACCATCCCACAAATTATCTTTTGTGTTAGAGCAGGGCAAGAGCAGATCTCCATGCCCTCCTAAGCCTTCAGTTACAGGCCACCTGTCACTCTCACAAAGTGAATTTATGTGTTACATACTTTTATTTGTTGGTGGTGCAATAGGTCAAGTTTATTTTATGGGCTAATTTTGCCTTCCTCCCTTCTCTAACAGGTAGGGTTTGTGGTTTTTGCCAGCCCCTTTTGATTTACCAATTACTTAGGTTATATTTATAAATGATGTGTAATAAAGCTAACCTTTTGCAGAAACTCTCTTATCTTGTCAGCATCTTTGCCAGCATAAATGTGCCACAAAGCACCAGGTAATTCACTGGAATCTTTCAACCTCTTCCTTAAAAGGTCATCCAAATCTTCCTCTTCCAACTTCTTCAAAACTCCTAAGGTTCAACAAAAATATTCTTTAAATGTGAGAAGAAGAAAAAATGGAGAAACTAAATATTTTCTTTTCAAAATTCTTGTGTGAGATTGAGCAGATGGAAGTTTGCTGAATACAACAGAAGCCACCGGGTGATCTTTCTGTTCAGTGTCTGTAACTCATTACTAGAACACAAATGCTGTGGATACCTTAAAAATACCTTTAATTTTTCAACTTTTTCACATTTCCTGAATTCCACAGAACACAATCTCCTACCTGAAATAAACAAGCAGGGCTGGTACCAAAAATGAAAAAATGGAAAAGGTGTTTTCCTGCAGTCAGCACAAGCAGTGTATAGCATGCTGTTGCTGCAGCCAGAGCTCTCCCAGGATGCTCAAGTTTGCTGCTATTAACTCCATGCACACACAAGTGAAAACAAAGCAAATGACAGACAAACCTTACTGCAGCTCTATTAGTCACACCCAAAATCTACATTTGCTGATTATGGAATAAGAGGACAAAAGAAAAAGGGCAAAGAAACAGAACTATTTCAGTGATTTAAAGACTGTTTCACATAAGCAATAAACCTCATAGAGACGACTAACATACACCAATTTAAGCTCTCCAGTGCTGAAAAATTACATTACAGCCCAAATTCAATAGAGTAAGCACAATGCATCCAGAAGAAGCAGCATGAACAGAAGGTTTGGCAAATACATCATCCTGACATAATTGTTAGAACCAGCACAGCTTCCAGAGAAAATCCTTCACCCTGCACTTCCATTAGCTATGCCAGCCCCAGCACAGCCATGGTGCATCAATTCTATGTAATGGCAAAAAAAGTGGAAAGAGTTTGAAATACCATTTCATAATTCATGAACTGCAGTGTATTTCATACAGAACTAATGTGTGTGCAAACCCGTGGAACAAAGAAAAAAATCACCCAGCTGCAAGCAGGTTCTTATGGATCTGCCTTCCAAAGAAGTGTGTCAAATTTAGAAGGGGCAGAACTTTCAGTCCATCTACACCTCTTACAGTGAGTGAGGTTCACATTACCTGATTTGGAAAGTACTCCATTTCCTTTGGCTATGCCAACATAAACAAGGATGTTCACGACATCAGAAACCTCAATATGGAGATTTGTGGTTCCTATGTCATGGTCTTTAGTAGCAGCCACACCTATGTTACAAGATAAAATTAAGATTTGTTTGTACTGCATATTCAAATCAGAACATGTAACAACAGCGAAGAAATTTCTGAAGTATACTTGGCATCACTGAGATAGATTAAAAACATGTTTTTGGTTCACCTGCTAAACAAGGTGATACCAATGTTTTCTGCTAAACAAGAAAACATTGATTTCTAACAGAGTCCTTGAGATTCTTTCTTAGCTCTCAGACAGCCACAGGTACCTGTCTCAACACACAGAACAAAATGTTCCAGCAGAGTAGTCAGGGACATTTCCTGACCACTGTGTTCCATTCCTCTTCAACCCTTCAGGTTGTTCAGGGCAATGAATACACAAGGTTATCAAATCTGTCACTTTTATGTCTGGCTGTAAGAGAGTCCTTAATCAGAATTATGTCCAAAGAGGAAAATTAATTTTAGTTTTAAGAAGTGGAAATGAACATTTTTAAGTCAAAAGGACATTCTGGAACACAGCCTTAGAACAGTATTACCTCAGAGTGGCATTAATGACTCAGTTCTCAGACCCATGCCACTACCATTATTGTTAATATGCTTCTTTCACAGGATATTTGGAGAACTTTTAAAACCAAAGCCATTGTGCCACAAATTACTACTCATTTCTTGTCCTATTTGTAAAACAGAATTGAACACAATTCTTTGCAAAAGAAGGAGCAGACAGAAGATGTCTGTGGGACTCAACCTTTTCTAAACAGGTTTTTTGAGTGTACAGCACACAAAATAAATGATGAGAAATATTATGAGATTAATTTATGACCAGAATTATGAATACAATGATATTTCATGAAGTGTTTTGTCACACAGCATTGCTAAAGACAGGTTCTATCACTGTGCAGAAGCAGCTAACCATTTATATGCTCCAGAATACTGTAATAGCATAAGAAAAGATGGACAGAAATGGAGAAGCAAATAGACTCTCATGGCCCAGGTGCAAGTAGTCCTAAATACCCAAGTCAGTCAGTATTTCCCCTACATACAGTGATCAAGAAAGCTCAGCTTTCTGTCAGGCATGGCAATGTGTGATATTCTACAGGCTGAAGGGAAGAGGTAACAGCTGCATTTACAGGGCACACTCACCATATGCACTGCACAGTCTGGGTCCCAAATCCGGACGGACAAAAAATCCTGGCAGATGAGAAGCCAAGTTTAGTTTTCCTTCTGGGCTACAATACTCAGGCAAGGGTAAACTTTTTAGTAAGTCCTCATATCTGGAGGAGAAAAGAATAAAAGAATAGAATTGAATTTGTGCTGTTACGTAGAGAGAGAAAATAGAGTAATATTAAGACTGACTGAAGACCATCTAATATTAAACTAAAAATACCTTGCTGGCATCATGGTCTTGAAATCTTCACCAGACGGCCAGTCTTTCAGTTTTAGCAGAGCTGTTTCTCCATTTTTTACTTTCTGCCGTTCTGTAAGTAACAGAAATAACTAAAAACTCGTGTACTGTAGGCATTTCACTTTATTCAACTAAAATGTAAACATGAACTCTAAACCTGCCAAGAATCTAAATTTCAGACATAAACAGGAGATAGCTGATTTCGAGACTCAAGAATGATACAAACCCAACTCAGCTAGTTAAGCAAGAAGGACATGTGTCCAGTTTCATACTCAGACCTAGGCAGTATAACAGCGCATCCTTAATTCTGCAGAGATACAGATTGCAAGTTTCTACCACATTGTCTAGAAAGAGACTACCTAGAGCTTTCTTTTGAAAGTTCCTTCAAAGCCTCAAGATCCATAATGATAATTTTTAACGGCAGTTTCTAACACTGTTCAGAATCAATACCATAATACATTTTTAAGGAACATACTTGAAACATCTTCAAAACCATCCCAGAACTCCTTGACATTGGTGTTTGAAATAATACTGTCCTTGCAATTCAAGATATCTGCTTGCTGGTTTCCAAAATCCAAACTGATGGACTCAGCTTTCCACAGGCTGAAGTTCATCTTCTTATGCATACCAGACACCAAAACAGGCTGTAAAGAATAAAATAAAAAAAATTCTAAAAATTAGTACTTATCCTTTCACAAGCAGACAAATTTTTTAACTGAGCTGGAATACAAATGTGTCATGAACACACATGGAAGATCCTGGCCTTACTGAGCTGTTAACACTTCTCCAACAGCACCCATATCCAAAGGTGCCATCCCTTTCTGGAATCTGTAACTCCGCAACAGAAATGTCTCATTTATTATAACTGGTTACCTCAAGTTTAACTACACAAGGTTCACCTGTGGGCTATATCTGACAACCTTTTTTTACCCCCAGTTTTAAATACAGAGTTAGGCATTTCTGCCCTTTAACACACAACTCCCCAGAGCTCCTGCTGATGGCACTTTACTGACCAACCTGTTCAATACCTACCCTTCCTTGTTTCCAGCACTCTTTGAAGAGTTTCCAGTTGTTGGTGTTTTTATGATCTCTGAGCCACAGAACATGCTTGTCACAGATCCACGAGTACTGGATGTCACTGTACCGTTTACTGCAGTCATCCTGAATGCTTTTTTTATCATCCTTTGGCTCTTCTTTTATTTCAGATTTCACATTCATCTTTGGTGCTCTATTTGGTGGAATCTTGTTTTCTACTACTGAAGCAATTATATCATCAAGAATGTTTGGCATAGTCCTTCCACTCTTGCCACTCTGTTAGAAAACAAATGCATGCTTAAACAGTGTAAAAGCAACTTAATGCAATTCCTTTTGAAAAAGAGTAGCATTTCTGATGTTGTATCAATTATCATCACATATAAAAACAAATAAAATGTTAATGTGTATGTGTGCATATGAAGTTTTAATTATGAATGAGTATTTAAGGCAATACACCTACCAGACTGCCCTAATTGTAATGTGCCAGAATAGACTGATAGAGATTTTCAAATCCTAAGAGAAAAACTGCATCTTGTAAAGACTTACTGCTGTTCCTGTGGAGTAGACTGGAGCAAAAGCAATGCCAGCATCTGTAGAGCCCAGGCGCAGTTTGCCTGCTGTTGTAGTTAACAGATCTCGTAAAGTTGAGCCCTGCTCGTTGTTCTGGGATGAAGGAGGAGAATTTTTACAGTTTGGGGACTCCAAATTATCCTGATCCTTCCCTTCCTTTGAATGTTTTCCAGAAGGACATTCTTTGTTCTCTAAAACAAAAATAATCATTGCAAGTTTACTCCGTTGTATCGTAATGCACACATAGGAACAGCACCAGTACCCTGCACTTCCCAGTGGTGGTAACAGACTGTGCAGCACTTTATTCACTTTATCCAGCTTTAATCACCTGGAAATGCACCAGAGGATGAACTGCATCCTTCAGAACACAGTCAAACAGTGTGACCAGGCAAAGGCCTCCCAGAGCATCTCAGACCTGCAGCTGAGTGAGTCTGTCCTGAGTGAGATATGCTGTAGCTGGAAATGCTTCCCCAGCACAAAGGCATTCCACCAGCTACCTTCTGCTGATGGATTCTGATGCCACCAGGGAAGAGAAAGAACACTGTCTTTTCTTTTTGTGAACAGCAAATGGCACTGGTTTTTTATTAATTCAATTACAGAATGACACAGAATCACTAGCTTGGAAGAGACCTTTAAGATCAAGTCCAACCCATGCCCTAACACCACCTTAACTAAACCCTGGCACCCAGTGCCACCTCCAATCTTTTTTAAACACATCCAGGGATGGTGACTGCACTACCTCCCTGGGCAGACCATTCCAGTACTTCATCACTCTTTGTGTAAAAAACTTTTTCCTAATATCCAACCTATATCCCCTGGCACAGCTTAACACTACGTCCTCTGGTTCTGTCAGTGCTGCCTGGACAAAGAGCCCAACCCCAGCTGAGCACAGGCACCTTTCAGGAGCTGTACAGAGCGATGAGGGCACCCCTGAGTCTCCTTTTCTCCAGGCTGAGCACCCCCAGCTCCCTCAGGGGTTCCTCACAGGCTTTGTGTTCCCAGCCCCTCTCCAGCCTCGTTGCCCCCTCTGGACGCGCTCCAGCGTCTCAACGTCCTTCCCAAGCTGAGGGGCCAGAGCTGGACACAGCACTGCAGGTGTGGCCTCACCAGGGCCAGGCACAGGGGCACAATGACCTCCCTGCTCCTGCTGGCCACACCATTCCTGATCCAGGCCAGGAGCCCTTGGCCTTCCTGGCCACCAGGACACACTGCTGGCTCATGTTCAGCCGGCTGTCACCAGCACCCCCAGGTCCCTTTCTGCCTGGGCACTGCCCAGCCACCCTGTCCCCAGCCTGCAGCACTGCAGGGTTATTGTGGCCACAATGCAGGACTCAGCACTTGGACTTACTAAACTTCATCCTGCTGGACTCTGCCCATCCATCCAACCATTCCAAGCCTCCCTGCAGAGCCCTCCTACCTTCCAACAGATCAACACACATTCCCAGCTTGGTGTCATCCGAAAGGTACCAGCAGTGCCCCCAAAGTCACAGACTTGCAATGACAATTTCAAATATTTACCTTTTTTTTCCTCTCTGGCTTTCTGCTCTGCAAGATCAGCCAGCCAATGCAGTGGGGACTGGGATTCAGGCGGTGTTAACTTGCTGTCTGTGCTCACATCACTCCTTGGACTTGTGTTACCATTTGTCTCAGACTTTTGAGGAGTATTCTGCTGTTGAGACTCAGGCATACACAGAGAAATTTTATTACTGTGGTTAAGGACATTCTGCAAAACCTGTGAAGAACAAATTTATTTTTAACTACACAGCTTCACTTTAAAGTATTTCAAAGACATGGCCAGTATTTAGCCCCCACATATGCAAACTGAAATGCAACTGGTACTATTCAAAGACAAAAACCCACCAGGATCAGAACACTCAAGATGCAATGTATACACATATTTTAGACTCACCTGAGACACACCATTCATTGCAGGGAGCTTGCCAGCTTGTGTGTTCTGCTTGGTGGTGCACTGACAGTGGGATTTAATTTCAAATTTTTCTCTAATATTGTGCATAGCATCTAAAAGATCTGTCAAAACTAAAGACAATTAAGGAGAAAAACATTACTAGCTGTCAATCATTGTGACCTTCTTTACCACATACACAGAGTGATGTTTTAAACTATTAAAAATTCTGAATTTACCACTCAAAACTACTCCAAAATGACTGCAAGCTCAAGCTTGTGCAGAGAGACACTCAATTAAATAATTGTACACTACTCTTCTGAATCATCTGAGCTTTAGTCTGCACTCCCATTGCATGGCACACACCAAGCAAGCCAGTAATTATTTACTTCTCATTGTTCAATGGGTAAATCATTGCTTCATTCAATAAAACCATCAGCTACAGATTGAAGTGAGCCATGTCTTGACAAAAAAATCACTATGTGAGCATGTAAATGAAGGCTGTTTGGTAATGGGCATGCATAGAAGAACAAAACTGAGGTTAAGTAGGCAGTCTTCATTGTGATGTTTCCAGATGAGTGGTTCACTTTCACAATTTAAAATTCAAACCAGTTTCAGTCTAGAACCTGTTCTGGGAAATGTCACAATTTGAATTTGTTATGGAATCTACCCAACCTTCATTTCTACCTGAACTAACATGCAACAACCCAGGGAATAATGGCTTGGTTCTGTATTTTCAGCTTAAAATAACCTGGGAATTTACTTAGTATGTTTAGGGCACATTTCAGTTTTCTATTTCCACATCTGTATCAATGCTGTCAGAAATTTTGTGCTAACAACCACTACACCACACCTAAAGGCACTACTTCAGAGAACTTACTTGGTTTTAAGCAGAAATCTGAATCTAGCTGCGTTTAGGATTCCTGCTTAGTTTTTCAATTATAATGAGCTCATTCATTGCATTTTGCTCAATCAGCTGAACCAAAATCTTTCTTTTCTTTTTTGGGTATGGGACAGACAACAGTGAAAAACAAATCCCCAAAAATCCTTTGCCTCAGTGATACTATTTAACCATTTTCTTTTAACAGCTAAGGTCAGATTTATTAGGTACATTCTGATTGTTTTATTCTGCTCTGAAAAGGTACAAATCCATCACAAAGAAGGCCCTCCAATTCTTCACTGCCTGTCCCCAAAACCCCTTTACACATGTGGCAGCACACTCCTCTTACTCTCATCATCATCTGTGGCCAGTGCTGGTAAGTGCCCAGAGGCATTTGCCTTCTTGCAATGATTTAACTCAATTCCCAGGTTTTTAAATGGAAAATGAGAAGTTTTCTGAAACAACTCTGGCCCTGCTTCACAGAAAGACCTGGGGAAAAAGCAGCTTCTGCTTGTTGGCATATGGTCTTACCAGAGCCTGGAATAATCTGTGTTGGCATCAGGTGCTTGTGATCATGAGGCTGTCCCTTCACACACTTCATCCAGGCATACAACTCCTTATCTGCAAAACAGGATTGCCAGTGTTTTACTTGCCTTACACTGCACACAGACAGAGCTATGGCATTTCAGACTGCTTTTGGTTAGAAACATTTCTCTGCACATACAGGCCTTCTGTCTGGGCATCCAGTGTGACAAGGACTTGTGTACAACAGCTACTTTTCACATTATTGAAAAGAGTTTAACAATACTGAAATCTGAAACAGCTGCATCTGTAACACAAGCCCTTGCCAATTACCTCCAAATTTCAAAGTATATTCCCTTTATCACATTTAGTGAGCTGCCAATTTAACATAGGCTGAAATCCTTTACAGTTGCTATTAAAGCCATGAGCCTCCCTGGATGAATCCTACCATGGAAAAGAGACATAATTAGGCTGTGATTTTATGGTTCATCTAATTTAACACAGTCCCCACTCCAACTGGAAGTGTCTGTTTTCCACCAGAGTTCCCCAGAGAAGCCAAAAAGATGAACTTCTAACCAAGTCATCTCTCTGATTCAGCTTATGACACAGCTACACCAGAGGTACTGGTGGCACAAAGGAGAGGGAAGTTGCATCCCTGATTTATGGCACATTAAATCAACCATGAAACCCTAAGTCTCTGTGTACTGGCTGAAAATCATTGGTGCCAGCAGAAAGGGCCTAACTGGTAGGAGAGGCTTTCTAAAAACTTTAAGGAAGACTCTCCTGAAATGTGCAATGTTTAAAAACAACACACAAGAAGAATGAGAGTAAAAAAGGTCTGGCCAAGCAACTGGTCACCAACCTGCTATGTGATTTTGGGGCACAAAGAACACAATTTCTCTCTCCATCCCCAGTCCTATTCACTGAACTGCTAATTTTAAGAAATTTTTCCAAGCCTTTTACCAGTTTGCTCACTCCAGCAATTTAAACTAAGGAACACAACACAGGAAGCATTTAACACATTTAAAGCATTTTTTTCACACTGTAGTTGGTACACAGTGTTTCAAATGTTCCTTCAGATAAGTATTAAATTTATAAGCTAGTCAGTAGGTTTTGCAGCACCTAAAACATCTGAATGTCCAACTGGTCACAAACATAAATAAATGAAGACAACAAAGCAGTTGTAGATCTACTTAATCTATTTTCTCGTGGAAATGTCATAAAATGGCATCCCACTTGATGGTGCCATAAACTGTCTGAAGGTAACAATGGTTGCATAGTCACTCACTCATGCAGTAAAGTGATAAGAGAAGTCATTGATAAGGATCTGAATCTGGAATATTTAAACCTTTAACATTCCTGCTGAAGCAGGGAAAAACCAGGGGATTCTCTGTTACATTCAGCAACTGTAAAAACAACTCCTGGTTCCAGGAAAAATGGTGTAATATAAAGTCCTATTATACAGAGATGGGTGGGTGGTTCTGAACGTTTTTGAAGAGAGTACCAAAGAAGCAACACAGTTCACATGAATCCTACAGCATCATTAGAAATTAATCTGCAGCAAGGGAAGCTGCTGTACTTCTGCTCTCACACATAAAACTGCAACCAACAGAAAGGAGAAAGTCCTCCCTGTAAGAAAACTGAAGAGAAGCCTCCTTCTTTCTACTGCTTGTTCCAACTTCTAAGACATTTTGCTAAAACTTTCCTGGCTGGTTAACACATGCTATAAAAAGCCTCTGACTGTGTGTTCCCACCAGGGTAAATAATGTTTGGCATGTGTCCCAAGCCACGTCAGATGGATGCACACACAGACTGCAGCCCCTGAAGAGCTGCTGAAGCAGCCTCCAGCACTAAAGCAGTAACAACTGCTCTCAGTGCAGGAAAATACTGACATTAGCTCCCTAAAAACTTCAGTGTAGGAGGCCTGTCACTGCAAGCCAGGGACAAAGTGGGTGAGACTCTCCATTTGGCAAAGCTTTGCCACCTAACAGTTAAGCTTTATTTTACTAACATTTCACATCTGTGACATTACAGGCTATGACAAACATGGAACAGCTTTTCAAAACAGCATTATCCTTGAATCAGTTCCTGGCACAGTGTCTGACCACAGAACTGTGCCAGGGCACAATGCCTGCCTCCCAGGGAAGGCAGTGCATTCCACCAAGCAGCCTGCACTCCAGTGTCACAGCTGTGGGCTCCAAGCCCAAATCAATCCTCCAAGTTATTCCCCCTTTCAATTGCAACCCAGCTGGGTCACCCAGAAATCAGAGGTTGGCTGATTATACTTCTCTCTCTCCAGACTAAAGCAGACATATCCATTAGAGCACAGGATAAACCACATATATGTGTAGGCTTATGGATTGTGAAACTTCCACTAACACTCATTTTAAATATCATCCAAAGTATTTTTCTCTTTTTTTTTTTTTTTATGATAAAGCCACAAAATGGGATCTTACATCAGTATGACAAGCCACTTCTGAAGGGAGGACTCCAGAAAACATTTAAATCAAGGCAAGTCCTAACAGCAATGAGTTACCATAAACAGGAAGGTGTGACTGAGCATCAGCCTCAACCAAAGAACAAGATTTAACCTTGAGGGGCAAGGCAAAGCAATCCCCACAAAAAGACTGAAACGTGGACAAAGAGCTAAAATAGCCCCCAGAACAGCTGCTTTCAGAATGACTGATTCTGCATCCTCTGACAAAAAAAGGAGGTAAAAAAGATCCAAGAGAAACCAATACACACAAGAAGTAATTTAACACTTTACAGAAAGACAGCTCTAGTGAATCAGCAGCTCTGCAGCAAATGAGAATAAACAGCCTATACAATACTCTAGTTCATAAAAAACTGACCTCTAGAACTTTTCCTTTCCTTTGCTTTGTAACAATCCAGGCAGACCACAAATCCACATTTTTGGCAGACCCAATGAATGTTAAATAACGTGGCTTCACATGCATCACACATCTCACGGACTCCTCTCACTGCTCTCTTCCATGCAATTTTGGCTGAAATACAAAATAAGCAGAATAAAAGGACTGAAATTTAAATGCAAAGCACAGAATGAATAGTCTTTATAGATGAAGCATTCATAAGTTTCCCCCCAGACACAACTGGGTTTTGGGGGAGGAAAGTGATCCTTCATGAACAGGCCATCAAGAGCTGCCCTCTTAGTTCCATTACACAGCATCCCCTTCAATGCTACCTATTATCAACACATTATAAAGAAATAAGGCATTCAGAAAGCACAGACTAAAGTAATACAGAAAATATATTGCTGCAAGCATGTAGAACTTTTTCAGCATACACTTTTAACCCATGCACTCACGGGGGTTTTTCACCTGAGTGCCCACAGGACATGTTTGATCTAAAGGGCAGCCAAAGCAGTGAGCTGGCCATGGAAGCTGGCAGAAGGGGAGGGAGGTGCCTGCTCAGGAGACCTGGCTAGTACACGTTTTCTGCTCCACTTCCTCCTCACACAGCCTGGAATGTGCAGAGCCACCAGGCTGTGCCCATCTGCTGTGGGCCAGAAGGATGGAGGGTTGCTTTGGAGGGGAGGGGACAGTGTCAGCACGGCTCTGCAGGACCTACACTGCTCCTCTGCTCTGCTCTGGGAAGGAGACACATCACAAACACCATTTGCTGGCTCCCCACAGGCCTTGGCTGGGAGCTGCCTGCTCTGGCTGGAGGCCAAGCTGGCAATGGAGGCTGCTCCAAAGGCACCAGGAGCCTGGCCCTGGCCTGGCACAGCCACCAGCACGGGGAGGGGATGGGGCTGGGGCTGGCCCACTGAGGAAGGAACCCTCCCCAGCACGTCCTCCTAGGAAAATCCAACAGCCAGGGAAGAGAGCTGCACAAAGGGAAGCAATGGTCATCCAAGAAAAACTGCACAACACTTGAGGGCTCCTTACCGTCTTTTTTCACCCAGGACATGGCTGTTTTCTCAGAGGTTACCAACTGACAAAATTTATCCCCTATGATATCTAGAATGTATTTAGAAGTTTCTAGGTCCAGTTCATCATCCTCATAGTTTTCATGTGTCCATAAACTCAGTGCTTCATCATCATATTGATCAGGAGAGGAGAAACCATCTATCCTAACCACTCCATTCTTACTAAAAGACAACCTAAAAATGAAAACAGATAGTTTAACTGCATGTATCATTATACTCTGTGACTTCCAATTTACTTGCTGCTTATATCTTACAACACAAAAGTTTTCTTTTCACCTTATCATCCTACATAATCTTTAAAATTTAAAATAAATCTTACTGATGAAAATATTTTTTAAAGGTAAACAAGGAAGTACGAAAACTAAAATTAACCTTTTAGGAACTTTTTTACATTCCATTCACTCATCATTCTCTCCGTCTAGCATTTATTACTCCTTTAAAATTGCAGACAGAAATATTTTCTTTTTCTATTTTATTTTGGTCAAAGTTTGGTTCCACCCACTTTCCCTCCTCACTTTCAATTTTCAGAATGTCTGTGATAGCAGACATTGACTTCTATCGACTCACTTTGACTTTTATATTATAGATTTTTGTATCCCACTGCTCTCATACTGAGAAAACATGGGTTCAAACACTACATTTAATTTTTTCTAGGCAGAACAAATCAGCAATAGAAGTTTTTGTATCCACTAAACTCTGACCTTTCAAAGGTTTTCCTGTTGCTCTACCCAGGGCCATTCTACTGACTCTGACTGTACTTGGCCTATTTTTAAGTGGTAACAATCATTCCATCTTATCCAAAACAGGATAAGTCATTACACAGATGTGATTATAACAGTTAGGGAATTTATGGCATCGAGACAATCCTGAATTTGGACATATCAATAACAACATTTAGACATGTATTCAAATGAACAAAATAAAATTATCAACTTTCAGCTTCCAAAACAACAATTTCCAAAAGAAGTGTAAACTTCTTTTGCAATTCGAGCCCTACTATCTAAACACAATGAAAATAATTTAACTGCAGTAAAATTTACCACAATACAATAAAAACATTCCATACTGGTTTTTTTTAATGCTGGCAAACCTTTATGCTCTCTCCTTTATCAGGGGGGAAGAAAATCAACCAAAATTCCAACTTTGCCAAATGTGTGAGGAAATATTCTTACAGAGAAGATATTCAGAGTCCAATCTTGAAATGATTCCTATGGATCTACCAAGTCTTGTAACTGAAGATTCATGATAAAAAATTAAACCCCATTTAGGGAACAGCTTCTTGCCAAATACAAGTTGGATTAATATTGACAGCACAATCCATTTACAAACTGTTTTATCCTGTTTTATCCTTTCTTGGAGCTTCCTTAACCCCAGGAATTTTTTTTTCCTTGTCAGTTTTCCTTGATGGGCCATTAATTCCAAATAGAGAAGATCACAACTCCTCTCTGTCCTCGGAAAACTCCCAGAAAACCCTGAGCAACATTCCCACCATATACTGGCATAAGAACAATTACAAGTAAGTGCAACTCTGTGGTTGTACAGCTTGTCCAGAAAAAGTGAAGCTTGCCTTTTGAAAATCCCACTTCAAATGTCAGACACCTGTGTAATGGTGATGTGCTGTATTTTCTGCTTGCCTAAGGTACAGCAGGCAGATGTTCTGATGTCTTTGCTATGAAGCTTTTAAACAGCAATGAAGTCTATCCACAAAAGAAATGCAAATGTAAATACTGTTAAAATAGATGCTTTTTTCTTTTATCGGGTAGACTGAGCCAGAAAAATCAGACATGCTTTCAAGCTCTTTGTCAATATTATTTTTAAAAGCTGAAGCACCACATTACCAGGAAATTAGGCATCCTTACCTCCTAAAGTAGTAAAATCTACAAAATACTGGTGAGTGAGTGGGTTCTTCTCCTTTCTTACTTCTTATTAACCTACATTCTCTGCATTTTTGTAAATTTGGTCCTATTTCAGAACAAGAATCATCCTGCAAAAAGGACTCTCCTGTTTGCTTCAGCTTCTTGACTTTGCGCCAGTCCTTTAACACGGAGCGAGGTATCCCAGCTGCAAAGGAAGGACAGTTTCAGATGAGGTACTGCCACTGCTTCCTCACACAAGACAGTCAGAATTCAACTTTTTTTTCTGGTACATTTGTTACCTGCATAATGTATTTCATTTTTATTTCCACCTATTTCCCCTGTCAGCAGCGAAGTGAAAAAAGCAAAGGGACCAATAAAACTTGCACAGGCAGGAGCACACTTAAGTAACTGCTAAGCTCCCAAGACACTACATTTTTTCTTATAATAGCTGTATTACTCCCCAGGTATTCTACTAAAACCATCTTCAGAATCTCATTCTGACAAAAAAAGCAAAGACATACAATACTGCAAGAAAGTTAGGTTTGTACGCTGTTTCTGAAGGTGTAGGCAAAAAGAGTCAAGAGTTTAATGTATAAAAGCAGAGCTTAAAAAAAATAACCTAAAACCAAATTCCAACTCCTTTAAAACTTTTTTTTTTTTTAACGTTACAGAACAGCAGCTATATTCACAGAATCCATTGACACTCTGTCTGGTTTGTTGGCTTTGCAAGGCCAAGCTGTATAATTCTATTTTCGATACTGAAGTCAGCAGATCTGACACTGCGTAACATGAGGAGCAGGTCTATTGAGTAATAAGTGCAATTTTCACATACAGGTTTTGAAACTGAACCCTGTTGTCATTTAACCAAGCTTTCATTTTAAGGAGTCTTGAAAGTGGCACCACTCTTATCTGCAGACAGAGAGAATTATCTGTCATTTCATCTACCACTGCTCTAGAAAGTTCATGTCCTGTAAACAGGGATCTGATGTAGGATGATAAAAGGGTCAGGGTGTTAACTTTGGACTTGGTACCTGGGTGCAGACTGGTGTTTTGCCAGAGATGACTAGTGCAAACTTTACAAGTGACAGACTGCCTATGCCTCAGTTCTTGGCCTACAAACCACATTCCACACTCACCCAAGGCATGACAGTCACTGGACTGAAACCTGAGGAGTAAAAGGGGTACAAGTACAGGTTTACTAGTCTGAAACAATGATTTCTGCCTTGGAAGAGATCCTGGGTGTCACCTGGTAGCTGCTAGACTTCAAGCTCTGTGGGTAGGCACTTGGAAGACCCTCAGCACGTGCAGAGGTGTGAAAAGCCTGGCTGTGCAGGAGGGACCCTCACAGCCCAGAGCTCTGAGTGCTCCTGGGGCATCAGGACACAGTTTACTTTAAGAAGGGAAGCTGGAAAATATTTTACAGGCATGTTTGCCTTGATCTTCCCTTCACTTGGGAGCAGAAAGGAAAAGCAGTACTATTACCACTGGACCAAATATCTAGAATACTTCAGATGGACTAAAACACTTCCAGCACCCAGTACAATTCAGGATCAACTACTCTTAGATACCAGAAGAGTAACTTTATACACCAGACAGTGAAAAGCCACAGAATGTAATTACAGGCAGTATTGCTCATTTTCTTGCTACCTGTGCTTAAAAAGTCTTACAAGAAGTAATTTAATGGTAGACACTCTAATACTTAACCAGACCAAAGACAAAGAAGAATCCTGGGAGAAGAATAAATTGGGATAAAAATAAGGCAAGTTTTTAAATAAATTCCCTTAGGTTGGCAGACCAGTTTCTCTTTTCAGATTAATCTAGTTACGATCTGCTGTATGTTACAGTATTACATTTACATGGAAATTTGTATTTCCCTAAATTTTTTTATTCCTTAAACAAGAGGGATGTTAACACCATGTACTACACATGCTACTTACGAGTGTGAAATTATTCTCCCTTAAACCTTTCATTACATTAACCAAATCATAACTGAGTGGCACCAGGCTCTCAAGGAACTGCCTCTGGCTTTCTGATCAAAGGATGAATTAGAGTTCAACAACAGAGAATCTTTCCCTCCAGCAGTGCTCTAAAAATAAATGCATTACATCTTAAAATAAAAATAACCCCAACATATATATATATATATATAGCTCAATACAAGTGGCATAACTATATGCACCAGCCTGCTCAATTCCGATGGACAGCATAAACGAGATGGTTTACTGCTTATTTTTAGGCCAAGAACCAGTTTGTTAACACAGATATAGAAAATGGTCTATTTCTTACACCAGGATATTCCAAATGGCCTCAAGACAGATAAATCAGGACCTACTCATTTACACAGGCATGTTTTTTAGCTCTTTTCCCAGCTATGGTGCATGACAAACCCTCCAGGATTGGACTTCACACACCTCTGTGTCTTCCAAATCAGATTAATATACTCACTGCTGTTACTGCCGCTCTGTAACTTCAGCTTGCTCTTTTCTTTGGCGCTCCTGCTAAGAACACCATTTGGTTTCACTTCTTCCTCGGTATCACCCTTTTTTTTCTGCAAATCATTTTGTTTCTTTTTGTAAGTTGGCTTGGGCTGCCGTTTAGTCCTTTGCTCTGACTTGCTCTCGCTTTCATCAGAGTCACCACTTTCAGAGCCAGACTCGTACGTTCGTTTTCCTTTTCTCCTTGGGTGCTTATCTTCCTTTGCAAACTTATCTGCCAAAATTTTGCTATCTATGTTATTTTGCAAATCATTTGATGTAGAAGCTATTAAATTGACAGTACACGGCTTAATAATTTCTGAAACACTGTTCCCTGAATTATCTTTTTTATTAGTGTTTTTATCTTCCTCTGAATGCCTTGTTAGCCAAGCCTTTTTCAGTTTAGTGTGGTAGTTTGGCTGACTCGTCTGGGAAGTTTGCCCACTGCCTACAGAGTTCGCTTTGTTTATTGTATTACAGACGATAGCACTGTCTGGGGAGAGAGAGGTTGACAATGTCTGATTTTTCACAGAGTTGGACTCAGCCTCAGCGGCGTTGCTACTTTTAAACTGAGCTGCGGCCAACGCTGCCTTGTGCTTTTTCAAATGGACAAAGTCGGTCGAGGTGGAGAAGGCCGAGCTGGGCTGAGCGGCGCTGCCAGCAGCGGATGTAACCGGAGCTGCAGTGCTGACCTTGCACTCCTGGGGC